TCCAGGAAACACACAGCCAGGCAGACGAGCTCCGAGCCAGCTCCCATGTCAGAAGATGAAGAGAGCACAACCAGCCAGACACACTCAGAGAAACAGGACTACACTGAAAAACAGGCCAATCTCAAACATCTATTATCAAAGGTGTTGATGGCAGCAGCACAGCTGATATTTCTCTCCAGGATGGTGTTACAGCCAAACAGGAACAGACAAGGCAAAGTTTAGTGGTTGTTTATTAAGAACTGTAATTTTGGATTATGTGATCCACTTGTTTTGAATCTCCACCACAGCAAAGTGAAACAGACCCAGAGAGAAGTTTTTAACAGATGTCGATAAATTAAAGGGAAGAACGGGGGGGAATAAATGTAGGATGAAAAAAAAAAGAACAAGCCGGAACTTCATTGACGTTGAATGGTTGTCTTTCTTATGTTTAATTTGGATGGATACATATCTGCAATTATTATTATTATTATTATTATTTGTTGCCTATTTGGCATGCTTAAAATAATAAAGTAGTCAAAAACAAAAGACCTGGCAAAGGCCCCTTGAGTGGGACTGTGAATTTTAAATATCTAAAGCTGTAAAATCTGTTTCTACAACTCTTCATAATTAAGTACACCATGGTATTTATAATAATACATTAAATTTAGAAACACCTTTTAGGACACTGGAGGATGCTGTAAAGCTTAAAGCCAACATGCACTAAGCCTAAACATTTAAGCTAGTACAAAATATTACAGATAAAAAGTATACGTAAGAATACGGAAAGAAGGAAATGGATGAACTGATCCAGATTTTTCACTTTTAATACTGGAATTTGGATATCTGCATATTTCTCCGTTATCAGAGCTCTGCTTGTTTTAATGTTTTCATCATTACTGTTGATTTTTTTTTTTAAAGACTACTCTCTGCAGGATTTAAATGGACTCCAGTTAAGAATGAAAGACAGAAGCTCATAAAGTGGTGAACTTTACTGCTTTTCGGACTGAATGAATTTGCTTGATACTAATATCAGATCTGTGCATTTCTACTAAAGAGGTGTTTTTTTGATTAGTTGTAATCAGTGAGCAAGAAGTGATGTTATTTAGGTCCAATAGGAGAGAAGGCTTTGCACCCCATGGTGGTAAAACAGGGGGAGAAAACCCATTTAAAAAATAAGTGGTTTTGCAAATAAACAATATTCTGATGTGTTTGCAGTTGATTTTTTGGTAGCAAATGCACTCCTTCCTTTCCTGTGTCATTGCATATTCATGGTGAATGGTGTGTGTTTGCCACCGTTCTTGTCTCAGAGCAGCATTAATTCTGTGTGTTAATGAGGCCTGATGAGAGCTGGAGGTGAGTAGATCAGCATACAGACGCATTAGTTTTCGCTGCCAGACTC